CTGGTTGGCCCGTTCTTCCCAACTGACCGCACACAGGCTTACAGGACAAGCTCATGCTTCCTGCCACCAGCCTGCTGTCCCTGCGCTGTCCCTGCCTCTTATGGGCCCCCTGCCGGCGGGGCGGAGTCCAGCTGTATAAGTCTGAGCCCCGCCCCTCACCTCCGGGACCCCACTGCCCCTCTACTCAGGCCTACAAGGTCCCCGCGCCCAGAGCGTCTCCCCAGGAGACACCCTCTGCTTATTGCTCACATCTTCTGTGCGGTGACCCCGCTGGCAGTGTGGGAAGTCGGTGGGCATCGGTCAGAACTGTGTGCGAAGTGCACCGCATGAAGTGCGTGGCATCCAAGGGGAATCTTCACAGGGGATGCATTTCCAGGGTGCTCTGGGGATCAGGCTGTGGCCCGAACTATAAACTTCTTCCTAATCCCATTACATACGGGGTTCAGCCGCACATCCATTCCACTCTCATTTATAACCGTGGTGAGCGTCAAGGTAGTTAAGATGCTTGCCCTAACTAGGATGTGACAGGAACACGTGTGTGATTTTTCCTGCGACAAGGCCATTGGTCTTGCTAATACCTCAGGTTTCATTACTGCTACGTTTGGTGGGTCTGGGGCCCAGGGGTCCCCCAGACTCACCCTCACCAGCCTGGTCTCTCTCTGGGAGGGAAAGAGGAAGAGAAGTCAGAGAAGCCCAGCGTGAAGAGAAAGCACTGCAAAGCTGCCCCAGGAAGGAGGGGGTGCTTGGAGCTGCGACCCTGCCGGAACCCTCTGCTGGACACCTGCTCCCAGCATTGCCACAGCTCAGCCTCTCCGCAGAGCGGGCTCCCCACCTCTGGAGAGATTTGAATTCAGCCTGGCTTCAAAGATCCACGCCTCTCAGCCAGTGGCTCGGATTTTTAAAATTTTACCTAAATGGTATTTTATATTCTATTCTTTTTGCCTCTTTTCACTCAAAAGAGTTTATTTTATTATTTTTTTAGCCTGAGTTTTTTCCATCTTGATATCTGCACATTAAAAATAAACTTTTCAAAAAAAATAAATAAACTTTTCTGTTTCAGATGGTTCAAGTATGCTTTATCCTATTTGAGGATATTTTGAATGCTCTTATTGTTGCAAACAATGTATTGGTTTTGCTATTATTTTAGATGGGTAAATATTTTTTACCTCCCCATTTTCAGTTTTAGTGTATTAAATATTGGTAGCCAAACCTCATGGAAATAGAGCCTCTCTGGGGTGGTGTGCAGTTCTGGGGTAACCAGCCCTGCTGTGTTGCAGACCAGCACACGCTGAGCCCCTTCCAGAATCAGCTTGGTCTGCACTGGGCTGGGGTATGGACTCATGCAAAGCCTCCAGGGAACCAGGCCTGTGGAGGCTACGTGGGCCCTTGGCCCCTATTTGCACTGTGGTGTCTGGTCGTTCTCAACACTTGACTTGGGGGCCCTGTGCTTCGGGCTGCAGCGCGCCTCACTCTGTCCCCATTCTGCTTTGCTGGCTCCTCTCCTTGTGGTTTGGGCCACATTCCTTCCCCAGCTCTTCTGGCTGGCTCCAGGCCTGCCCCAGTTCTCCTGATTCCTCTTGCTGAGCATTCCTCGGTGCTCCTTTGTGATCGTGCTGATTTTGGGTTTATCTGTTTCACTTTCTTCTCTCACTTTTCATGGTCAAAGAGAGAGAAAACTAACCTCTTGAGCACAATGCTTATCTTACTCAGTTAAAAAAATAAACCCAAAAGTACCATTTTCTGTCTCCAAGCTGCAGACCGCTCTTCACTTCCAGTGCCTCTGCACCGTGTCTGCAGATGTCCATTTCGGACGTTACTGCTGCCGTTATTCTGTTGGGTGCTGATGGTTCTGTTTCCATCGAGTGAGCAGTATTTAGGGTAACAGTGGGGCAGCACAAACATGTGTGTGCGTGCACAGGTCACCTGTGTACTCCCAGAGCTCTGCATCTGGGCTACAGGGGCCCAGGGGGCGCTCCTGCTGCAGTGGAACCCATCACCCAGGGAGCTCTGTGGTCCCTGGGTCCCTGCCAGCAAGAAACTGGCGTAGATGGTGGGCACAGGTTGGGGTCCGCTATATCCCACTTGCCCGACGTTGAAGTCAGTGGTCATGAGGAGAATAATTACATACAAGACACAAAATTTATATTATTATTTTATGATGGTCACCCAGAGTTAAACACAAAAAGTACACGAAATCTGTCCACAACACTGTAGACTCAGAATATTCAGCCAAGGGCCTGGATTCCACAGCAATGTCTTGCATGAGTCCAGCTGAAGACCAGGAGCCCATGACAATGCCTCCCATGAGTCCAGTTGGAGACCTAGACCCCACAGCAAGGCCTCATGCCAGTCTGTTTTACAGATCTGAGCTGGGAAGGCCCAGGTTAGCAGTGGAAGCTAGAAAGTCTATGCCAGAGAGTCTGTGATAGCAGGTTGAGGGTCCTACATTGGAGACGAGAAATCACACTCGAAATAAGGACCAGGGCTGCCCTGAAAAGTACCACAGCCATCCTCAGTAACAAGGAGGGCCTGAGCTCCACTAAAGATAAGAACAGTCAAATACATGCCAGGAAGCCAGCATGATGAGCTTCTCCTGGAGATTAAACAGCGCACATCTTCCCCTCTGGAGCCAGAAAGCAATGCTCAGTGTTAGGACCAGAGCTCCCCCAAAGTGATCTACAGCCACTCTCACCAACAAGGTCTTGAGCTCCTCTGGTGACAAAGGCCAAACTCGTATTGGGGAAGCTAGTCATGACCAGCTCCTCCAGGAGAACCAATAGCTCAAACAGCAACACTTAGACCCACAACGCCAGCTCTTCTTCTCCACGTCTCTATTTATGCTGGTAGCTTTCCTCAGGTGGCCCATCTACACTCAGCACCATGCTGATTTAATTCAGCTGGTGTTAAGATAACTGCATTTTTAATCTGTAATGTCCTGTTATGGTTTGTATGTAGATGTCCAGCAAATTCACGGATCATAGGAGGATTTTGGGAGGTGAACGGATCATAAGAGTGTGGTGCTGGGTCACGAGTGTGGTAGTAGATTGGCCCACTGGTGGGTTCACGATGGTCACTATGGCTGGGCCTGGATAGCAAATGTTCCTCCCTCCCTCCTTGAGCACATCCTGCCTCCTGCTGCCCTGCCCTGCTGTTCCTCCTCTCCTATACCCTCTGCTGGCCACTCTGCCTTGGAGCCAGCTGATTATGGACTGAACCTCTACAAACTGAGCTAAATAACCCTCTCCTCCTCTGATTTGTGAGTGTTGAATATTTTGTTCTGGCAATGAGAAGTAACTAACATATCAAATCTAAAGCACAAACCCCAGGTCCTATGGGGATGCTGACTTCAGTGCCCTGCAGGTTTCCACTGTGGGATTGGGAGGCAGCAGCCGGGTGAATCAGTTACGTTTAGATTTGGCACAGAAATGAAATCAGTGCTTCAGTGAGCTTTCTGTTTGTTTAGTAGCCTCTACTGTTCAATCACACTGGCTATTTGGAGACAAACTCCTTTGGGCACAGGGCTGGGGGTGGGAAGACAGACGCATGTGGGGGACATTGCCAGGTGCCAAGTGGGGCAGGAAGCCGGGGTCCCTCCTTCTCTGTTTCTTCCTGCTGCTCCAAGGACCCCAGTGTCTCGTGGGCTTCTTCTTCTTATATCCTGAGGGTGTATGACACATGGCACAGTTGATGGCTACACACAAGACTCACCACCCAATCTCTGCTCTGTCCCCTCTCTGTAGAAGGTGACAAGAGTGACCCTGAGGTCCCAGCATCATGGCTGGGTGAGAAGCACTGTTGTGCATTACAAAGCAGCTGTGACGGTTTGGCTCGCAGTAGACTCCTGAAAACATAGACCGTGGGACTCATGGGGCAGTGCAGGGCTCTATGAGATTTTCCTGCAAATATTTGAGACTTGAGAAACTTTTATTAGCTTTAAAATATAAAAGGAAAACTTCAAAACAAAATTGAAAGTTTGTGGGTGTTTTGTTCTGTTCTGAAGTAGGGCCTCTGTATGGCTGAAGCCTGAATTCACAACCCTCCTGCCTCAGCCACTGACTGCTAGGATTTCAGGCTTGCACCAGCACGCCTGGCTTTGAAGTTGATAGATGTTAAATATGCTTCATGGTAAAGACTTTCCTGCTCACGCACATCCTGCGAATTTTCTATGCCCCTCAAGTGAGGCAGAGCGGGTGGCTAGCACTGGCCCTTGGGTATGACCGGAAGTGGTCTTCGTCACCAGGAAGAAAGAGCTGAGGAGTCAGTGTGTGAGGCTCCAGTTTCTTCTTTTGAGGCTCAGGGGTCGGAAGGCCCCACGCTCTCCTTGGTTCTGGGTGGTATGCCGCAGAGCACCTCCAAAACCTTGATGAATCAGAAGGGACTGGGGTTTGGGGCAGGAGGCCAGCAGGACGGACGGGAGCATCTAACCCAACACGCTGGCCAGCAGCACTGGCTGAGCCCGACCCTCCCTCGGGCATCGTGAAGGTGCCCAAGGCCTGGTTGGTCTTGGTTTGTTTCCTGGTGTGTACCAAGGTCTGGAATAGCACCCGATGAGGTAGAAGGTGCAAGTCAGGGTCGAGACACATGTGGCTCTGGAGATGAGCATGTGTGCAGCTTCCATGGGACCGTCCTTGCACAGCTCAGCGGGGCTTGGGAGGGCTGGATGAAGGCTCCGGCCCTCGGCAAGACTGGACTCCAGGCTCAGGTCACTGAAGTCCACCTGGTGATTCACAGGGGCCAGGCCCAGAGCTGGGTGAGCACATGGAGCCCCCACACCTGCTCAGCTTCTCTCGCACTCCGCACACCGAGGACCCAGCACCTGCCTCCCTCCCAGCCATGAGTGCCTCTGTGCTATCAGAAGATGGCCTGTGCCTACAATTCCATTTCCAGTTCTAATGGCGAGGGCTTCAGTTGTCTTCAAAGACAGAAACTTCCAGCTCGAGAGCCGTCACAGCAAGATGACATCGGTAATTACACTGACAGCTGCACAGCTTAGCATGAACTCAGCCCTAAAAATAAACCAGCCCGTGCAAGGGGCAGCAGAGGTGGCAGGCAGAGGCGCTGGGGAAGCTGACAGCCATCGACTCTTCTCTTGGAGTTGGTTTTTGCCTGGAAACTGCGAGGTGGCCTTCTTTTCTCATGCAAGGTAAGGAGGTAACAGGCCAAGAGAAGTGCTTGCAGCTTGAGACACCAGTGAGAAGAGGGCCCTGCGCAGTTTCACATTTACTAGCTGTCAGTTTAGCTGGGAATTTCTGGGTGGAGCCGGGCAGTGCAGTGCACATTTGTGGTGTTGGAGGGGTGATCGCTGTTTCCAGCTCTTTATTGTTGCTTGGTGCCTGGAGCCATGACCTCCTTTCCTGGTTACTCATGAGATACTATCTTAAGGAGTCACTGTAAGCTACTGCCGCCTGCTGCTGGACACAGGCGGTCACTTCTACTCCAAGCCCCTTGGATTTGGTCCCCACGGCTGAGGGTGAGGTTTTCATCTTCTATGTCTGCCCCTGGCTCATCTGCTTCACTGCTAATGATTGGGTACACTTTTTTTTAATGACAAATAACAATGCTTTGTGTGCAGAAACTGACCTTTCTGTGTCCACTTGTCTACGAGGGACCTCCAGGCGGATCCCTCCTGTTGCAGTGCTGCATGGGTGTGGGATCTCATTCCTCTGGCTCTGCCAGCACTGCTGCAAGTGCTCTGCTACCAGGCCCTGCTGTGGGTGCCCCTCCGTGGGGCCCTGGGCAGCAACAGTGAGGCAGTGAGAGAATGTACCCAGCTACTCTGCCGGGTGATCAGCTGGCACGGGGCTGGAGCTGAGTGGCAGGACAGCATGGATGCCCATGAGCTGCCCCCCTGTGATCTCCACTTCCCCCACCTTTTCCACCTTCTGACGAGGATGCCCCATCCCCAGCCCCTGCCTCCTGGTCCTACCCTGGCGGGATCTGCACCCAACATCTCTGCCCACCCAGGGGTTCTATGGCAGGTGTGGCAGAAGCTGAGTCTCCTCGAGCGGACCCAGGTGCTTTAGTTTTTTCTTATTTAAACAGAAAAGCTTCTGTGACGTTCTCCTGGAACTGTTTTGGAATGAATTAAAATTTTTATCTTTTTACTATTGTTGTTTAAACTTTCTTTCTCAGCTTACTTATTTCTTCTGCAAAATCACCCCGCATAGCTCCTAGTGGCTGTTTCCTGCCAGCATTTCACTATGCATGGTTGGCTTGTGGTCCCTGAGGAAGGTCCCTGGTTATTAGCTGGGTTCGAAAAACCTAAGGTTTGTTTTATTTTGTTTGTACCAGAGGCCCAATTCATGACCTCACACTATGCCATCTGTTGCTGAGTCGGGGTGATGGGGCTTGACTTGGGGTCAAATCAAGTATCTGGTGTTTTATGGAAAAGCCTGGTTCAAATGCCCTGGGAGGGCAGTGCAGCCTCAGTGGCCCAGGGGCCTCCACGAAGGTCTCCAGGAAACCGCCTGGGCCAGAAGCTTGGTTCACAGGAACTAGGAGCTGCTTGGTGGTAACCAGGACCTTTGCTCAGGGCTGAGTGATTAACCTTAAATATGAGCCATCGATCTGAGAAGTGCAGCGGGAGTAGAGCAAAAGCAACAGCAGGAACAAAAGAAACCAGCAGGGAAACACTCGGAGAAGTAGGTGTGGGCGGTTGCTTCCTGAGCGGAGCTTGGCAGCTTGGAGATATTAACAGGAAGCAGCAGGAAATCACAGCCAATTAAAGAGCTTCTGCTTGGCAGAGGAAACTATTACCAGAGTGAGAGATGCTACAGAATGGGAGAGAGTCCCTTCGGACACAGAGCACTAATGTCAGAACAGGTCAAGAACTCCAAAAGAGCAAATAATCCAATCAGAATAGGCACATAAACACAGCAGCATCCCAGAAGACACGCAAATGGTCGACAATGACACAATGAGATGTCCAAGGTCTCCAGCTACCAGAGAGATGCAAACCGGAATCACACTGAGCTTCCGCCTAGCCCCAGGCAGAAGGCACTGAGCAGATGCCAAGGGCGAGGGCCGGGAGGAGCACTGGAAACCAGTTGCTGCTGGACCCAGGGCCCCTCTCTGGCACACACTGAATGAAACAGAGCTGGTACCCACAGGGATCCTGCATGCCATGCAGATTGTGACATGATTCACAATGGCCACATGAAGGGCCAGGGGCAGCACCCTCCGCAGAAGCATGGATGCAGAGAATGTGATGTGATGTAATATTATTCAGCGTGAAGAAGGACATGATCATATCATTTGCAGAAAAGTGGACTGCAGCTGGAGAGTGTCACGTGCAGCTGAATGAACTAGATTCAGAAAATTAAATATAGCATTTTCTAGAATGTGTGGAATCTAGGGGAAAAATGACATGAAAGGAGGCTGAGACAAGACAAAGGGACCAGGAAGGGTATAGGGGATAACAGGGAAGGAAAAACACTGAAAACAGCAATGGGGGAAAAAGGAACAAAGAGACTCAGAAAATAAAAACAAAGCTACTCACAGAAGAAAAGATAATAACAAACCAAAAACAAAACCCCACTACCACAAAGCTTCACAGACACCTGGAGATGGATGCATCCAAACGCAGGAGGGCTGGGAATGCAGCTCAGTGGCATAGCACCTGCCTGGCAAGTACAAGGCCCTGAGTTTGATTCCTGGTACCAAAAATAAAAAAAGACAAGTAAGTGCCGGATGCAGTTAGAGCAGGGAGGAAGAATGGGTCTGCGCTGTCTCAGCCAAATTACAAGGGAATAACACTGTGAGATGGGGAGCCTGCTAAGAAAATCCCTCTGGGAAGGGTGGGATCCAAGAAGTCCCAGAAGCAGAGCCAGAAAAACAGAGAGAAGAAATGCCCAAAGGGGTTGAACAAGAAAATTCCCAGAACTGGAGCAGAGGAAGGATCCACTTGGAAGTGCTAACTCGAGTGCAGACACAGCCCAGGCACTTGGCTGAGAACTTTCCATCCACCGATGGGGAGAAGGTGAGAGAGAGAGGGCGGGAGGGAGAGCACATCCTTCGAGAGGATGGAAATCAGATCTGCATCAGACTCCCTAATAATAACTCCGACGCTGGGCATGGTGGTGCACACTTGTAATTTCAGCTCGCTCGAAAGCTGAGGAAGGACGATCTCAAATTCAAATCCAGTCTGGGCAATGTAGCTCCTTGGAGAGAGCCTCTTTCAAAATAAGACATTCTTTTTAAAAAGGACCACAGATGTAGCTGATTGCCAAGACTCCGGGTTCAATCCCCAGTACCACACACATGCACACGCGCGCGCGCGCGCGCACACACACACACACACACACACACACACACATCACGACTTGTAGAAGATGGTGAAATGCTGCTTATCAACTCTCCTATCAGCAACTAGGCAAATTCTTCACACTGATACCCTCATTTAAGACTCACAACAAATTTGCAATCTTCTATGATTCTATTCCTATTTGAACAAACTGAGAAAAACAAGATGAAGTAATTTGCTAAAGGTCAGTTTTGAAAGCAAAATTATAGATACCTTGATGACATGGTAAGATATTTTACCTGACATCAGGACAAGAGAGTACAGAGACAGCAGAAAAGGACAAAGAGGAGAAAATTTTATCAAAATTGCTGCATTTAAGGTGTGAAGGGGTGGCCAGCTGGGAGGGGCCCCTGGACATTGTTAGTTTGGCTTCACCCCATGCCACAACCTTGATGGGAAAGCTGTGGACTAAGGAAGCACGTCTGATACTTTGCATCATGAGGATGTGAGGCACATAACAAATGCTTCTGCATTTTTTTGGAGGCAGGATATTGCTCTGTAGTTCAGACTGGATTTGAATGCACTATAGCCCTTGAGTTTGCAGAAATCCTACTGTCTCAGCCTCACGGTGCTGGGAGTATAGGTACGTAGTACCACGCCTGGCTATTTTTTAATTTTATTGTCCATGTTTGGAGTATGTAGTGATTGGTGGGCGTCTTCATGGGGAGATGGCATACATACATACATGTCTTCATTCTTTTTGTCCCCCACTCAACTCCCCCATTTCCTGGTCCCCTTCCTATCTTCAAAAGACCCATCTCCCTGTTTCCTGTGATTCATGTGTAATTTGGCTCTTTAATTTATTTATATTTTGGGTGTCCTAGTTACTTTTTGCTCTTATCATTGAGACAAAATACCTGATGCCCTGAGCTGGCACACCTCCAGCAGCAGCAGGAGCCTCTGACCAGGGAGGAGAAGTAGGTAAAGGGTCAGGGGAAACGGGCAACTCAGAGACCTTCAGGTGCCACCTGCGCGTAGGTGGGGCGCCTTTATCCTCTGATTGCCTGGTCCTGCACGGTAGAAAGCACTTCAGGTTTCCACACTGAAGCGCACAGTGCAGAGGTGACCTCTGCTCTGCCCCTCCTGCCTAGCTTCTCTCTGCCAAGACCACCAGCACTTTTTCTTGTGCATTGTTCCAAAGATAATTTGCTTATGCTGCTGTTGTTAAATATTAGTGTTCCTCTAATATTAAGAGGCAGATGCAGAGAGAAACTGCTGAGACACAGGTCTCATGGCCTAACACAGTTGATTTATTCTCAGCCTGGTGACAGAACTGACAGGAAATTGATAGAATCTCACAGCATCTTGAAACTGGAGGAAAACTCACCTCGTCACTTCAATAAGAACTTTTCGGGGAAAAGTCATGTCATCAAATTAAAAATCAGTAAATTTGCAATTGCTCTGCCCTCCTTTTCTGTCTCAGAAGCACGGGCCCCATATTCTACTGTTCCTGGGTTTGCAGCCACTTTTGGAAGACGAGGTGCCCAGATCCATTGCTGCTCCTCTAATCCACATAGACCCTCAGTTCCTCTGCTCGTTGACCTCAGGCTGATTGAAGGCCCTGGGAAGGACCAGGTGCTGTTCCGGGCAGCCTGACGTTCACTGGCCACACTCAGTGTCGCTGGTGGCTCTGGTAAACCTGCTTCTCAGTGCTCTGAGGGGCCTTCCCAGGCGCGGTGGCCACCTGGGTGAGCAGAGCAGCCTGGGTGAGGGAAGCAGGAGCGCATTATCTCCCAGCTGCCAGCTCTGCACTGAGACCCCATGGCCACCTGTCGTCTGCAGCTTCCACACCCAAGCAGCTCCAGGTCTTCCGTGGAAACTGGCCATGCATTCAATAATTCAAATATAGAATTTATCATGTGCTGGTCACATGTCACCACTGGACTTTGCTTGGAGCTGTGAGGCGGGGAGGCAGACTGTCCTCTTCCAAGGTTCCCAGCACAGCACTGTTCTGGCATCTACATGTGACAGCGGGCATGGGCATTGCCAAGCAGGAAGGTACCTGACCAGGCCTCTTCAGGGTTTTCACTGGGGCTCTTTCGTGGGTCTGCATGGCTGAACTCAGGCCCCAGGCTGAGCCCACAGGATCCAAACCCCACCCTAAATCTCATGCTTGGTCTTCGACCAGCCAGTCACACCTTGAGACCCACACAAAGACATCCTGTCAAGTGCAAGATGGATTCTTTTCCAGACACCAAAGGGGAGGCAGGTTTTCTCTGTGGGCACGGGAAATCCCCTAAGACAAGATCCTACACACTCAGCCACAGGTGTGTGGCACCATACACAGGTGTGTCACCTGCAGACAGTCTGTCCCAGCAAAGTTTTACAACAAGTTAGCTCTTTGCAGAGTATAAAACAAATTTGAAATGTAGTCACGTACTGTAATGTTTTGCAAACAAGAATGAGGAATCTCTTTATGAACAACATTTTGCTGAAGGGAAGAACCAGCATTTACTACCACTGTGTGAAAAACACAGGCTTGAAAATCTGCCCAAGTTCCCAGGGCAGCTCCGGAAGAATAACTGAGGCCTGGGAGAGGCTCTTCATCTGTGCCTTCTAGGTCCTGAATTTTGAAGAGTGAAACATATTACCCACTAATGAATAAATTAACTTAGAATTCCAGATAATGATAATGAAAAAGCTCTGCTTTAGGGGATCTGTGCCATGGCTAATTCTTCCTTCTCTTCCTGTCGACTGCCTGTTCTGGAAGCTTTCCACCCACCATGAAGTTCAGAAACTCCCCCTTACTGGCGTTTTTCTTTTGTTCTAAGAATTGAACGCAGGACTTTCTGCTGGCCAGGAAGTGCCATGCCACTGAGGTATATCCCCACCCTCCTTACTATTTTTTAGGAGCTGCTTTATAAAAATTAATATAGCAATGGGTATTGAGTTTTATCAAACAGTTTTCAGTATCTGCCAAGCAAGGGATGTATTTTCTCCTCCTTAATTTGTTAATGCACCCAATTACAGTATTGGGTGTCTCAAGATGGCACCACCCATCCATCTCAGGAACAAATCTGCGACACATTATTCTTTCAATTGGCTGCAGGACTCAGGCTGCCGGGGTTTTAGGAGGATATGTTTCCCTCTGTGCCCCAAGGAGAAAAGGCCCTCTCTTGCTTCTGGTCGACTCCTTTGGTGTCAGGTGGACGCCAAGCTCAGAGGACTTGGGGCGGCGTCAATGTTGTCCAGCCTGATGGATGCATTCTGAAGCACAAAACGCCTCCAGTCCTCTTCCTCATTGATCCAGGGGTTCCCTGCCAGGGCGATCGCTTACTGCACTTTCTTTTCTGATTGGCTTTATCTGTTTATTGCTGTAGAAAATTATCTGTTTTTTTAAGATTTTGAAATTGACTTTAATTTTTGTAATTATTTTTAGGTGTGGAGGATTGACCCCAGGTCCTCGGGCTGCGAGGCAGGGTCTCAACATCCCTGCTGAGCCATTTTATTATATATGCAGCTCTTCCCTGTGCTTGCCTGTATCTCCTGTAAGTTTCGGGTGGTCTGGTCTTCCCAGGAAGCTGCCTCCTGCAGCACATCTCAGCGCCCTCTGCTGGGCGTGCAGATGCTCCTTGCTGGGCGCATCCCTCCTCACCCCTCGCTTCCGTTGTTTCTCTCTTCATCCCTGTGAGGGCTCAGGAAACTGCCCTGGGCCAGAGTCGTGGAGCCCAAGCCATCCTGGGCTGGAGCCGTAGTTCTGATGCTGGAAGGTGATCCCAGCAGGACCTGCCATGGCCGTGAGGAGCTGGCAACGGTGAGTTTTATTCTTTTGACTCAGGGAGTTTCGCTCAGAGCAGGTCCACCGGAGACACCTAAGTGGGCCTGGGTGGGGACCGCATCGTGATGCTCAGAGTGGGGGAAATGGCCCAGGAAGGTCGTGCAGGTGGACATCCAGAGACACCCAGGAGCCGGCGAGCTATCTGGGGGTGCCCCTATGTGTGTCCCTGGGAGGAGGGGTTCCCATCGTGGAGGTTCAGGTCCTTTCCCTTCATTGTGGTGAGGTTACGCTGATGGATAGTAGCAGTGTGTTGTTTATACAGTAAACTGTGTGCATATACACTTGTGTGCATGTGTGTGCACACAGCTGCATGTCATGCACTTGTGTGTGATGTGCACACCTCCCCTCTGGCCCTGACTCCCCTGCGATGCTCGCTGACACCAGCTCCCTGGGCCTCGTTCGTCATCCAGGCCCAGTCTCCCTGCTGCTGGGCACTCGCTGCCGTGAGTTCTCAAGGGCAGAGTCCCTGGAGAATGCAGCAAGCAGAGGCAGCAACTTCCTCATGACCTCACATCTCTTTCCATCACTGCAAAGTAGATCTGGAGTTTCCAGCTCCCGCTTGCATGGTCACAGGCTTCAGCATGGATGACAGATGGCACTGCCACTCTTAGGAAGCAAAGGTTTCCCACAGACCCGAGATCCCCACCTGTCCCCGTCGTGCATGGCACTCGGCTTGGCTCCCTTGATGTCTGGGACGCACCTGGACCTCACTGAGAAAGCACAGCTTAGAACTCGGCTTCAGGTCACTGTTATTATCTGGCCTACAGTGATCACTGTGGGCGTGACCTGGAAGGGTCTGTCTCTCTCTTCCCTTGATCTTTCTCTGCCTCCTGCCTACCCTGACCGAGGCTGTTTCTACTCCTTGGAGCCAGCCAACTATGGACCAAAATCTGTACAAACTGTGAGCCAAATAAACCTTCCCTCTTTAACTTGTGGTGTCATGTACTGTGTCTTAGCGACAAGAAAGTAGCTTTTATTTCCCTCTTGAGATAGGCTGCTATATAAATCAGGCTGGTGTTGAACTATGTAGCCTGGGCAATCTTCCTGCCTCAGCCTTTTGGGTGCTGGAAAGGAAGGGAAGAGAACCCAAAATATAAAACCCTAGATGTGTTTAAGAAATCATAGCAAGAGATGACAAATGGGCTTGAGTCAAATTAAAAACAGTTGCACAGTAAAGGAAACAACCAACAGAATGCAGAGACAGTAGGCAGCTGTAAGGGAATCTGGCGACTTTTCTGACAGAAGTTGATTTTCAGGATGTTCACAGAACTCAAAAATTGCTCAAAAGAATGAGCAGTCCAACCAAAAAAATGGGCAAATGAACTCAACAGACACTTCTCAAAGCATAAACAAATGGCCAATAATTATATAAAACATATAAAATTATATAAAAACATAATTATATAAAAATAATTATATAAAAATTATGTTAATTAACATCTTCATTCAGCAGAAAAATGTAATCAGAACTAGAGTGAGATTCCATCTCACCCTAGTCATGATGGACTAATCCCAAAACACAAAAAATAATGAATTCTGGCAAAGATGAGGGGAAAAGGAACATTTTTGCCCTGCTGGTGGAGAGATTAGTACAACCACTGTGGAAATCAGTGCTGAGGGTTCAAAAATCGAAACAGAACCACACAGGATCCCCGCAGATACCTCAGAGACCCCTCAGGCACAAGTTACAGTGTGCTCAGGTGGGTGAATGAGAAAATGTGGAACAGGCACACAGCAGCGTGTTAGCCACAGAGAAGCATGGACTTGGTGTGGATTAGATACTCATGGCTCTGAAGACCTGGGCTGCTGTCGGTTTATGGAGGCTTCCGGACGAGTTGCTGTTAGGTGGGGTGTAGTCAGCAGTTTCAAGGAGAACAATTACATACCGGACACAGAATTTATAGTACTATGTATAATGATCACCCAAGGGGTCAAATACAAGAAGTGCAAGAAACCTATCCACAACACTAAAGACCTAGAACATCCAGCGAAAGGCTGGGTCCCATGGCAGTAACCTGCATGAGTTCAGCTGAAGACCTCGAGCCCAGGACAATGCCTCATGCAGGTCTATTTCACCGACCTGTGCTGGGAAGCCCAACAGTCATCAGTGGAAGCTAGAAGGTCTGTGCCAGTAGGGTGAAGGATCTTTGCCAGGAGGCTAAGGGTTCTGTATTGGAGCTAGGAAGTGATGCTCAAAATAAGGACCAAGGTTCCCCTGAAAAGTACCAGAACTGCTCTGATGATGACAAACAGCTGAGTTCATATTAGGATACCAGCATGACGACCTTTTCCTGGAGACTGAGCAGCACACATCTTCCCCTCCGGAGCCAGGAAGCGATGCTCAGGGTAAGGACCAGAGCTCCCCCAAAGAGAACTGCAGCCACTCCACTCTCAGCAATAAGATCCTAGCTCCTTCAACGATAACAGCAGAGTTCACATCAGGGGAGCCAGCCATGACAAGCTCCTCCAGGAGCACCAACGGCTCCAACAACTACATTTAGGAACACCCACAGCACTCCTCCTCCTCACCAAGTCTCCTTTTTATGCTGGCAGCAGCCCTCAGCTGGGCATCCACACTCAGCACTATGCCGCTTCAGTTCAGCTGGTGTTTAAGTTGACCACCAGTTACCAGGCCACTACAGGTGGGGTCACTGGGCCATGGCCAGAGGGTGCATCTCCCTGGCAGCTCTTCCCTGATCCACTTCCTGTCCAGCATGCCCTGAGAAGCACTCCTCCGCTGGCTCTCTGCCCTGAAGTCCCGTCTGGGACCAGCTGACCAGGGGCCGAATAAACTCCACCTTCCTGAAGTCACAGGTGCCTCTACAGAGCCTCAGCAACAAGAAGGTAACTGGGAAGAAGCCAAAAAAACCAATGAAACTAGAAGATCATTAAGCAATATTAAGGAAATTAAGCCAGACCCAGAGAGGCAAGAACCTCATGATTTCTCTAATATGTGGAATCTAAAAAGATGACATGAAAGTGGAGGGACGATCAACAGAGAAGGGGGAGTGGGGTAGGGCTAGGGGTGGATGATACAGGACAGTGAAACCAAAGGAGAAGGGAGGAAGGGAAGGAGGGAGAGAGAGAGCAAAGGGGTGGGTGAGACAGTTCACCCAAGGTCACAGAGCTACGAAATGATTAAGCTGGCCAGTGAGGACAACCATAGCAGAAATGGACAGGAAAATTTACAACTTAATATTCTGTATCTGTGTGAGAACTGGTGCATTATCATAACTGAATCATTTTAAATGGAACAATAAATTGTAGCACTTAAGAAAAAAACTAAAACCTTGCCAGGCTTGGTAGTACAAGCCTGCAATCTCAGCACTGCAAGAAGCTGAGGCAGGAGGATTGTCGGAAGTTTGAAGCGAGCTCGCACAACTTAGTGAGTTCAAGGCCAGCCTGAACTACATAACCCTGACTCAGACAACCAAAAAACCCCAAAATGAAACAAAACCCAGTCAAGCAGGCCAGTGGCTTGGCCAGAAGATGCTTCTATTCCTAAGCATCAGGAAGGAACTCAATCCCTGCAGGGGTCCTGGGAAGAAACAAGGATGGGCAGTGGCCTGGATGTCACCTGTACACGTTGGGTGCAGTGGGGACAGTGGTGCCCCCAGTGGGCTTTGGCTTCTTTCCTTCCTGTGAAATTCCATGGGCAGCTCCCACTCGGGGACAGAAGACAGTGGCAGCCTGGAGGGACAGCATGGGCAGTACGGGTGGGTGGGGCTGGGCTTCCCTTCGGGCACATGAAAGCGTCTGGAACTGGTCAGACTGGTGGTTACGCTGTACTGTAAACACAGTAAATCCACAGAACTCCTCACTTCAAATGGTGAATTTTGTGATCTGTGAATTTTACAACCACAAATGCCGGGGGAGGGGACCGGGAGAGGAGAAGAGAGAGGGAAGAGGGTATCCCAGACCTTTTCCCAGGGTAGCCCTGTGCCCTGCAGCTGCACCACTGCCCGGCTCCCCCAGGAATGGTGGGCAGAGGCTCCAGGTGAGATGTGGTCCATCTTGAGCCTCCTGGGCCTGAGCAGGGCTGCTGGGCTCCGGGAGCCGCTGATGACACGGGAATTGAACTCAGGGCCTCGGGCTTGCCAGGCAGGTGCTGTGTTGCTGAGTAAATCCCCAGTCATTCCTTCTTCTGAGCTCAACACCAACATCAGCTGCCAGACAATGCCATGGCGGTGACCATCAGAGGGGAAGAAGCCGATGTGGTACTGCCAAGGCTGGTGACGAAGACGCTGCAGCTCGCCAGCTCTCCTTCATGGACATGGAGCCCCATCAACCCTGCTGCACTGGGAAACCCTGTGCTCTAAAGCCTTCGGAGGTCAGACTGTCACCGGTCACTGTGCCTCTCCCAGGGCATCCCTGGGACACACTCAACAGCTTTTCACTGCTGCGGCAGGGTACACGGGAGGTCCGCTCAGAGGAGGGAGGGTGGAGCCAGCCCCCAGCTCAGAGCTGTCCATCCATGGCTCTTGGGCCCTACTGCTTCAGGCCATGGCAGAGAAGAGCAGCCCCTGGCAGCCAGGAAGGAGGAACTGTGAGCTCACAGAGCCCAGGCCGGGCTCAAGCTCCTGCCCGAGACCCTCTCCTCCCAGCGGCCACCGAATTACCACCTTGTCTCACAGAGGCCTTTCTACATGACTTACACTGGGCTGCAGGCCTTGGCCTTCAACTGATCCTCCGCTCTCCAGTGTGGCCATCCTGCCTTCTGCCTCCTGACTCTACAGGCAGCCATGGGGCCTTCCCACTTCAGACCCTGTGAGTCTACCTAATCAGTCCTTGTGGAATCACACACGTATTTTCTATCAATCTGTTCCTCTAGCAAACCCTGATTAATCCAGGCAGCCACAAAAGTCTGGCTGGGTTCCATGGAGCAGGGAGGCCCCTCTCCTTGTCGGACAAGTTGCTGTTACACTGTAGGGGGTATCCACAGTCAGGGTGTGGGTGCAGGCCTCCTGGGGAAATGTGGTGTAACCGGAATGCGTCATACTTTAGAAGAATATCTCGTGGCCTCAGAAAATGTCCCCTGAGAGGCTATGAGTGAAACAGTGGGATTACAAAACAGTATGGACAGTGTAATCCCAGTTCGGAGGAGAAAATACTAACAGCAGCTTTCTCTGGGTTGTGAGGTCATCTTTATTTTCTTCCTTCTTGGTTTCTGTGTTTTATCATTTCTAAAATAAACATGTGTTAATTTTATAATCAGATATAAAAATAAAGTAAAATACCAAGAAAATGCTGCCTTAAAAGGAGGAGCACCAGCCTGAGGCTGGGTGACCCCAAGTCTTCAGGTTCTCAGGCTGAACCTGCAGCTCGGCAAGATGCCTGGGAGGCAGAGCTGAGGCTGGGATCTGGGTGCCAGCACATCTGAAACATGGTCCCCAGGTCTGATAAGAGAGGAGGACGTGAGTCAGACAAGCAGAGGGCAGAAGCAGGTGGGTTAGGACGCAGGAGGTCGGGTGGCCACCTGTGGGTCCCAGGACACTCAAAGAACCAGGAGAGGAGGAAGCCAGGGTTACTGTCTACTGTTGGTCCTCCATGCAGCCTGGGCACCAGGTGCCACCCTGTGCACCTGCGTCTGGCTCCTGGGAAGGAAGCCCAGGGCTGGGGTGCCAGGTGCCTGTGGGCAGGGCCCTGGCAGCGTCTGCCGACCTTGTCCCTCCCCTTAGCTGGCACCACAGTGACACCTGTGACTGATGGGCTCTGGTTCTCCCCACTCACCTGATGCCTCCCCATAGCCTGGGAGAGGCCTCGAGCAGCTGCAAACCCTGGTGACCTGAGAGGGTGGGAGGCGGGAGCTATGTAGTTGTTGGTTCCTCTGTGGGGTTCCTGGCTTCTGTGGGCCTCCTGCGGCTCCCTGGGAGGTACAGGTCAAATGGCCTGGGAGTCCTTTTCACCTTGGCAATTCCCCAGTGTCCTC